CTAGAGTGTCATTATAGGCCACCACGAGAAAAGCCTATATACATCCAACTTAGAATACGGCGACGGGATTAGTGATTAACTTAGAGCACGTAACGTATACGTGCTCTAAGGCGTCAAAGGTGCGAGATATCTGATTAAAATTTTGTACATTTCCATGCTGCAGCTTTATCATGTTTGTAGCACGGATGGATCGGCTCAACCACGGAAAGACCACGCTCTCACAGAATACCAGCCTAAACTAGCAGCTAAATACTGCCGTGTTTTGTATGATGATTTTAAGGAACCGGAGACTTTTTACTGGAAAATAGACATTTCATCTTGATCCTCACTTCAGAAAGAATAGGGTATAATTAAGATATCTTGTGGTATGTATGGGTAATAATTGAGATATCTTGGTCACCCATTAATGAGTATCTAACTGATGGTGGACGTAGAAAGAGAAATAATTTTCTTATTGGAGCTGTCTAAAAGAACAAGTGTACTTCCAGCCTATTTCAAGTTCGGAGGAAATACGCAGTCGTGTGCAGGAGGTCGCTTTAAAAATAACTGAACGGCGCTACGCACGAATTCTTAATAGAGCATTTATTAGAAGATATCGAGTTTGTATCAGAGTCGGTGGCAGACAATTCGAACATTTTAATGTATATTATAATATTTTATTTATTTTCATAAATGTTAATTTCTATTTTGTATGATAAAAATAAAATAGAAATTAACATCTAAAGGAAGGAAAATACTTATCCCTCCTTTTTTGAAGTTTTGTAATCGGATAAAAAGTAGCCTTATGAGTTACGCACACTTTTCTACAGATTTATTACATGTATGAATATTTTATTATAAAATGTTTGGGATATGAATTTAATTGTCTTGCAGCGCAACACAGAGAGTACATTATGTAATACGCATCCAAGATACATTAGAAATTCCTAGTATAGAGTTATTTAAAAAAATAGAAATGGAATAAAAAGAAAAAATAGAGAAAAATAATCAATTACATACACATAAATCAATTTAGTCTACCTTTATATTACATGAAATACAGCCCAGTGATATCATTGTCCACAAAACATCGAGGGACACTGTTTATATCGCCATAAAAACGATAAAGGTAATAAATAACGTAATATAAAAGATATCAGTTTATTGATCGATAATAAATACACATAACGTTTTTCTTAATCAATTCCGTTAAAAGCGTTGTGCTAACGCTCGTGGGGTTCAGGGATCAGCAACGCGAGGGTTTAACTTTGGGAATCGTATGCCGGTGAGAGTCGCCGTTGGGGATCTCTCCGTGACTGAGTCTTACTAAGATACTGATATTTTTACGTGGTAGAGCCACGTTACAGTTATGGTTGTAGCACGTTTGTTGACATATTCCAACTGACTTATGCTGACTCGACCGAGGACGGACCGCGCTCTCACAGAATACCAGCATAAAATAGTAGCTTAATGCTGCTGTGTTTTATATGGTGGGAGAGCCGGACCAATTTTATACTGGAAACGAGGCTTTCCATCTAAGTTCTCAAGGATGGCAACGCATCTGTGTTTTGATTCTTCATTAAGGATAAATGTAGATGTCTATGGGCCTCAGCATCCACTTACTATCAGGTGGACCGTGTGCTCGTTCCTCACCAAAAATAAAAAATAAATTATTTTAGCATGTATCCACTAATCCATATCGCCCCGAAGATGTCATAAGCGGCGACAGATGGAAACAAACCTGAAGATGGGCAGCAGCGTCTTCCAAATAACAAATAAAAAACTGCGTTTGCCAACCCGCTTGCCAAGCTTGGCAACTATGGCAAATATCACCCCTTTGAGACAATCTATGGGCCTATGTTCACCACTGGACTTTTGATAGGCTGTAACAGTAACAGTAACATTCTGCATGTTTATAAGGTTGTTTCAATTATCTTAGAAAGTTTTTTTTTAAAGAAAACCTTACTACCATGACTATGTTTTTTTCCTGTATCGTGAAGGCAGTGAACATACATTCATTGCACAAGAACAAATATCTATACCCGTAAATATATATTTAAACCATACAATATGTTTGTTCAGCGCCTCAATGCTCACGCATCTTCTTTATTTTATAGATGATTAGTATTCATGACAGATATTTAAATTCTTTTTTATAATGAATATTCCGAAAGTTTTTTATTTATTTAGGACAATAAACAATAGTATGATGAGTATTTCAAAGAATAAAAGTTAAAATTACCACGTCTTACTTAGTTTTAAAGATGCAAGACCAAATATGACCAATATTGGAAGATTGCAATTAAATCTGAAATCTTATTTAAAGTAAATTTTAATAAAAAAAATGGTATTTGCATCACGCATCATGATCACAACATCTGCGTCACGGAGCCGTCAAACGCAATACGAATAAATATTGTCTAACTCTGAATCGAGTTATGAATCAATTGAATTTTATTCGAACTTATAATTTCGTACTCATCAGCCGTGGCAGCTCAGATGGTTCACGCTCGCTGTAAATATAACAGAACGCGAGTAACCTGGGCTCGATCCCCGCCGGCACCAATAAAAACGTTAATTGCAATTTTAAGTGCTGATTTACCACGTGCTCGGCGGTGAAGGAAAGCATCGTGAGGAAACCTGCATGTCTGAGGAATAAGAAAAAAATATTTCGAAGACATGTGAAGTTCGCCAACACGCGTTGGGGCAGCGCAGCGGACACTTCCTTGCCCTAAAACCCTCTCAGAAATGAGAGGAGGCCTGTGCTCAGCAGTGGGACGTATATAGGCTGTAACTTTACTTTATTTTTACTTTAATCACAAAACCGAAGCTATTCAACAAGTTCGCGGACTTCGATAAAATTACCACAATGGTTAAAATAAATAGTCCACTGCTAAATTTTACGAAAAGTATAAAATTATCATAATTAAATAAAATACAATACAAAAATCTTTACAACGTTTATTATAAAAATATATTTACAGCCTATTTAAAAAAAACTGTACAAAATATATTTACAAAATTAAATTGGGAAATGCAATAAAAACTAACAATCAGTAGTTCCTGCTTTACATATTAATAATTAGTAATTAGAATAAATTATAAATAAAACATTCCTATTTAGGGATATGTAAAACTAATATTTTTTGTAAAAAAATAAGGTTTTCAATTCGTCGGAATAATTTTATGTTTGTCCATAGATAATTTTTTCTACATTGTCCTATTGAAATGGTTTTTTTTAAAATATCTGATGTTGGGATACACGAGAAAATCATCAAAACCTTCAATTTGTAAACTAAGATACGCTATAAAGGCAAATAATTCTTTACCGCGTCACATGACATCGAACATTGTCTTTTTACTTCTTTGAAGCCGATGCTTTCGTGTTTTTAAAAGTAAAAATTGAAGGTGGCAAAAGAACACTTCTATTTTAGTAAGTATTATAATCGTTATTTTACATTAAAAGTTATTTAGGTCAGTGATAATGTAACAAATTTTTTCATTCTTTATTTCGGTGACACGCTAGAGAGGGGGTTCGGTTGCCACTTCTTGTACGTATCGATATATACTATTCTTTATTTATCTAACATTTTTATGTAATTGTTAATTGCTGCACCAGATAAACATTTTTCGAAAATTAAAGTTACATTATATCTCCCCTAACACACAATCGATATACAAATATGACGAATCGTAAACGCATATTGCTCAATGTGATATTTACGCCATTTTAATTGCTCTCAATTAAGAGTTAAAATCATATTATTTCATAAGAAGTTAGGCTTGATTTTTTTTTAATTTTGAAATAAAAAATATATGGAAAAAAAGGAAAACACTTATTCGTATTTAAGAATCTATACGGTGTAACATTAATAAAAACAGGAATACTCAAATATATATAAAAAGAGATATATTTTTTGGTTATAATCCAAAAAAAGCTCTATTTTTATTCACAATCACAAAATTTAATAGGATAATAAATAATATAAAAATATTGAGAAGTAATATTATTGTAAAATATATGAATTCGGTAAACCGGTAAGCGGTTTAGAAGATTCAATTCATAACAAATAAAGTACTACAATCGATCAGGGACATTAGGTTACAATCACAATACAAACTTAGCCTTTTCTTCTTGCATACTTTGTTTTTTATTATGATATTTCTTTTAGTTAAAAGCAATAAACAATTCTTATTTAAGTAATTACTTTAAAGCATTATTTTAATTTCTCATGCCACAGAAAAAACTGACGTCACACAATTTTAGGCACTTTTAATTAACATAAACCGTCTTATTACAATAGTGGTTTTTGCCTTAGGTTTAAGCTATGTTTTAAAAAGTCTTTCTAACTAAAGCAGTCCTTTAGGGTCAGTTTACACCGAGACGTGACGCGACGCGACGCGGATACAAAATATAACTTTATTTACTACACAAAAATATACACATTTTATTGAGGTATTTCAAAAGTGCCCCGCGGCATAGCGCGGTGCATCGTCGGTAGGCGCAGTATGCAAGAATGCGCTGCCATCGGCTTCACGATGCACCTCGCGGCGTCGCGATGCGTCTCGCGGCGGCGCGATTCGTAGTGCCAAACCGCTGACCTTTTCAAGCATCGTCGCGTCGCGTCTCGGTGTGCACTGACCCTTAGTCACCGTGCCACAGTCTTCGTGGAATTCAGCTGTCAAATTCCATAACTTACAGTTTAGTTCACAAAATTTATGCGGGGCCATTTTATTAAAACAAACTCTTGTTTAATCCTAAGACTAACTAACTATAAATTATTTTTTGAAATAAGGCGGTTTCTCTCTTGAAAATTTCCCGTCAAATGTTGCCAATACCAAGGCGACGCGTTGAACATTTTTCGTGTAAAAGACTTCTAAAATCACAGTTTAACCTGAGACTGTTAATTAACTACGTTTTGTAATAAGTCGCTAAAAAGTTAAATCACAATATAAATACTAAACGCATATTTTGTGCAATCGCTCCAATGTATTTTCCCAAGTCGGTAGAGTTCTTATTTCTAGCCGAAAAACGGACCGACGATGTGAGGATCGGCCCGCCTGTCGATGAGCACGAGGTTGGCTGTCCTGGGTGGATGACCTTGGTGGTATATCCATTTCTTGCCAGCTTCTTTGCCTTTGTGGTGGAAGTGTTCCTTGCCTTTGTGACCGTGATGATCTTGGCCGTTGGCAGATTTGTGACCCTAAAAATTAGGTATACATTTAATATTAATTATGCACGTTTCAATAAAATTACTTTTATAGAATGAGGGTAACAAACGAGCACACCGACAGGCGAAAACGCGAGTAATTTGGGCTTGATGAAGGCGAAGCTTCATCAATGAAGTGCAGATTCTCTATGTGCTCGACGGCTATTAAGTTATTGGTTCAGATGAAAAATTGTGAACAATATATATGTGGGTAGCCTACAACTTACACAATCATAGAACCAATCCCACTATGACCGCAGCCTTTTACGAAATGTAATGCAAGTAAAAATGTTCACAAAAACGTGCAACCTCTGATTCTCAGACCAACATGTCTGAGGAAAAGAATAATTCGAGGACATGATTTGAAGTCCGCTAATATGCACTGCCTTAGTGCCTATTGCGGAAGCCTAATAGCTCTATAACTCCAGCTGTACTGTAACTGTATCCAGCTGTGAGACCATACGGCTTTACTATTACCATTACCTGAACATAGGCCCCCCATAGATTGCTTCATGGGTGATATTTGTCATAGTTGCCACGCTTGGCAAGCGGGTTGGCGATCGCAGTTTTTAATTTTTAGTCGTTATTACGAAGACGTAGACTTGGGTAAAAAATATCGATATATAGAAATATCGATAGATTGTCAATAAAATATCGATATTTTCGTCGATAGTTTTATTATTATTTAATAGACAAATATTAAAGTAAAAGCAAGAACAATGATGTACTTCAGTTTTCTTTCGTCGTTAAAACGCTCAGTAATAAAATTGTGACCCTCATATTACATCATGTAAAACATGACGATGTATCGATATATCGATATTTATCAATAATGATCGATACTGGTCGATACCTTTTAAAATATCGATGCGATAAATATCGATATAATTTTTCACTTGCCCATCTCTAGGAAGACGCTGCTGCCCATATCCTGGTTTGTTTTCCTCTGTCGTCTGTTAGGACACCCACGGGACGATATGGAGTAGTGGATATTCTTACACTGCCCTTATACAGCACACATGGGTCTAATTTAAATTAATCCAACTAATTACGTAAAGATTATAAACTGAGTATCGAGCGCGCAGCAACTATTCTTTATAGCTTATCGAAAGTCCACTGCTGAACTTAGGCCTCCACCATATATTGCTTCATAGAAGCTTGGTCAGCAGTAAACTGCCTCCACGATACAAGAGAAAATCCTGGTAATGTTTAAAAAAAAGAAAAAGTTTGGCAATCGCAGTTTCTTATTATTTTAAGTTCTTATCAGAGAGATGCTGATGCTCATCTCCTTGTTTTATTTCCCTCTGTCGCCTATCACGGCACCCACATGATGATGTGAAAGTAAATTCTCTTAGACCGCCACTACACGGTACTCTTGTATACGGTGACCTATGCCACCGGAGCACCAAAAGTTTTTCGTCACTTGTCTCGTCGAATACTATCCTGCTGAGCGTGGCAACGATCACAAATAGCTCTATGAGAAAATCTATGGGGTAGGCCAATGTTCAGCAGATGATAATAATAATGATGTTGACTAAATAATTTGGTGTAAAATTATCTTTATACATTAAAATCAATTCCGCCGAGAAAAAAAGGTTCTCGAGTGGTAGCCTCGTACCGGTAGGCGAAGTGGAGGGCGACCCTCCACTAGATGGAGTGACGACCTGGTAAGACATGTAGGAAGTCGATGGATGCAGGTAGCTCAGGACCGTGCTTTGTGGCATACCTTGGAGGAGGCCTATTTTCAGCAGTGGACTTGTGATGATGATGATGACGATGATGATTAAAATCAATTGCTGTTCGTTGGTCTCTGTTCACTTTGATGAAATGTTTGTATTTGTTTGAGTGGGTCCCTGAATAGTTTAGATTTACAGATGGACCCGGTAGGTGGCGCTGTTGTCGAGATCCAAAAATTACCCGTTCGAAGCCGGGGCGGATCACTAGTATGTAACAATGCATACTTATTTGTAGAAAAATAATTTTAATTATAAGTTAAGATTACCTTGTGGGAATTCCCGAATCCACCTTTGCTAAAATGTCCCGAGTCGCCCTTGACGTGTCCCTCGTGTGCGGCCTTGAGCTTTCCTTGCTTAAAGCGGCCACCCTATAACACATTATTATTATTACATGCTTTTGTAAGCTTGAGCTGTAAGTATGAATGTAATAATAATAATGTCTTAGACCAAATTTCGGTTACAGCGGCCAGTCTCAATGGAGATAGGTCAGCGCAGGATAGGTGAAAAATCGGTCATAATAATCTGCCGGCGATCTAAAACATCTCATAAGTTATATATAGTTATATATATATATATATATATATATATATATATATATATATATATATATATATATATATATATATATATATATATATATAGTTCATAATTGAATGATGAAGAAATACTTATAAAGTTAACAATATTTTCAATGCTGTTACATCTTAAGTCTAGACATTGAGGAACGTTTTTGTGTCACGATCCGAGTAGCAAAAAATAGAATGGTATTGCAATAGGTATGTATAATTTGTGGAAAGAAAAGTTTTATTTTACTCTATTGCAATAATAGTTCATAATTTCAGATTAGCAAAAGAAAATTAAGGTTTTACTGAAAAATAAAATAATATAAAATAATTTTTACACAACAGCTTCAAAAGTCAGTACTAAGTGTTATAGAAGGTTAAAGCCCCACTTTAAAGCTGTTCTTTAGAAGTTATTTTATTCTAAGTTCTTTGAAGCTATTTTATACATATTACTAGGGCATATTCAGATGCAAAGGTAAAACCTTTTGCTAGCATCATAAATGGAGCGGAGTAATGTCTAAAGTCATAATATCTTTATTACAACAAAAGATTCAATCAAGTGGTGTGACATTGCGCAGATGTAAATTAGCGAATTGATTAGATAGTAAAGGAAAATATCAAATTCAGATTATTATTGTTTACAAACTTTGTCTGCGTTGAGCTACAAATATTGCCCCAAAATAAAATGTAAATTGGCCTAAGGGTTACGGAGGAGATATATGTCAAAGAACCGTTTTCTTGCGCTATGGGGCTCCGCTCGCTTCGCTCGCTTCGTTCCAATTATATGTATAAGTTTTTTTTATTATAATATTTTACTCTTCTTAATGGAAGCAGGAAATTCACAAGCTAAAAATAACAAAATGTTGTCTGTCTAAATAGCTACATTAAAAAAAATATCTCCATTTCTCTCACCCTAATTGGGGGATCAACTCCATCTTGATTAATAAACTTTAATAAAACAAAATAAAAACAATTGAATAAAACTAAATTTAGGATAGGTTATTACTCTTTTATTATGTGACAATTATTAACAATGGTCGATATTGACAAAGATTTTGCGTAACTCACAAAAAAGTAAATACATTTGGAATCCTCCATTTGAGTTATCCTCATTCTCTGAAATCGGCTAAAATATACAGAACACTTTTTTTATTCGTCTTAAAATGTTATTGGAAGTGAAGCCGAATTTTATTCCATAACAAACTTACAACGCTCTAACGGAACACACATACACCTTAAATCATTTGTATCCAATAACATATCTTTTTTTTTAAATTTCTTTAAAAAACGTTACGTCAGGATTTTCTACTATATTGCGGGGGCATTTTACATACATGAATTTCATAAGGAGAAACAATCACACCCGAAAATTATTAAAAGAAAGATTGCTTAGAAACAGAAACTTATTTTTTCATTATAAATTACAATTTCGGAAAAAAATCTTTCTCCTGGGAAGAACTAGCAAGAAACCCAGCGGGGCTTAAAAAAACAAAACAGCTTACAATCTTGTACAAATTAGAAATAGTTTGGTAGCGATCACCGTTCCCAGGGGCCAATATTATCATAAATTCCTTAATATTATAATGACCCTTTTTACACAAACTATGTTTAATAAAGTTTTTGAAATTTGTGCGGCTCAATTTTGTATATTTAATATCGCCCCAAAAATGAATTACTAACTCGGTGGAGTCGAGTAACTGGTACTACTAGCTTGTGTCTGTTCCTAATATTTACAGAATAATATCACTTATTTTTGTAAAACTACTTTTATTTTTGTGTAATTACATTTCATTTTCATAAATTTATTGAGTGACCAAAGTAAATATATTAATTTCTTTAAATTACTTGTTCCGTGCGGGATTCGAACCCATGGCCCTCAGCGCCGCTTCTCATACGAGTAGCTAAGTCACTGCGCCACGGAGTCGTCGCTTTTACGAGTGCGTGTTGTTAAAATAAAGTTAACATTGTTTGGGCGTCACTTCAAATGGTACGTTGTGTTTTGTCTATCTTTCTTTGTCGGCCCGAGTAAAACAAGTAATTTTACGAAATCAAAAGAAATGTTGCTTAGTCAAGCTCTCTTGATGCTTAGTACCTAGTATTAAATACGGCTCAAAGTAACACGTCGTTTAATTGACTTCTTTAATTACAAATAATATAACTAGCTTACCAGACAGACGTTGTTCTGCCTTTTTCGACGACCCTTTGTCATGTCCTATTAAAAATCCTTAAATTCGCAAAAAATTGTGCATCACTCATGGGCAAAAAAACTATCCTATCTCTCAAGTTGGACCAAACTGCACACGGTGTGCAAATTTGATTAAAATCGGTTTAGTAGTTTAGGAGTCCATCGCGGACAAACAACGTGATACGTAGGAATTTATATATATATATATATATATATATATATATATATATATATATATATATATATATATATATATATATTTATAGATGAGCCGATTTAAAAAAAATGGTGATAGCAATTTTACGGCTGGTCTAGTTTAGATGTTTGTCCTTGTGAAATTTATGTATGTATGCAAACTGCCTTCACTATAAAGGAGAAAATCCTAGTGTGAAGATAACGTTTTTTAAAAAAACAACGAAAAGAAAAGGAGAGAGAATTCGACTATACATTTTCTATGTATGTTATGCAATATTTTCGTCGATTGTGACCCAATTTCAATGAAGTTTAAAATATTATATACCAGTGGTAATGTACAGTATATTTTTTATAGGATAGGGTGACAAGCGAGCACACAGTCCACTTGATGGTAAGTGGTTGCTGTGGCCCATAGACATCTACATTTATCCTTAAATAAGAATCAAAACACATATGCGTTTTCACCCGTGAGGACTAAAATGGAATGCCTTGTTACCAGTAAAAAATTGTCTCCGGGTCTCTATATTACACTCAACATACGAAATACAGCAGTATTAAGCTAGTGATATTTAACGCTGGTATTCTGTGACAGCGTGGTCCTTCCCAGGTCGAGCCGACCCATTCGTGTTACAACCATAATATAGCTGCAGCGTGGCTCTACCACTTTCTACACAAATTTATATCCAAAATAATTTTATAGCTTCTGACAGATGGCGGTATAACAATCTCGTTACCGCTAATCGAAAATACCCATATGCTAGATATATCTCAGAAATGCAAAGATATTATATAACATTTAAAGGACATGTGAATTTCACCATTGTGCTGGAGCAATACATTAGATTGGAGCAAGCCTAATATTCTTTAAAAAATGAGGGTCTATGCCCTAAAGTAGGACTTACCTACATATATTGTTACATTACTTTTACTTTATCAGATATACAGACACATTTTAGATAAGTTATTGTTTGATTTTCTATTTAGTTTATGGTATTTAGCATAACCTGGTCGATATTACACTAAAAATAACGAAATATATATAAAAATATCTGACCTTCCCGTGACTCTTCTCGCCATGATGTCCACCGTGTTTTTCCTCTTCAAAGGAATCTCCTTCCTCCTCAAAGAATTCAACGTTCTTCTCGTATTCTTCCTTTTTGTGGATATCGTGACTGCCTTTTGTACTGTGGCCTTTTGAATGTTTACCCGATTCCTCGTACTGAACACGAACAAAGTTAGACCCTCGATTGTTATTTAAAATATACAGTCAGAAGTAAACGCTGTTGTGATTAAGACATCGACAACTTTTGTCCCAGAATGACGGTAATATTTTTTGAGTATACGTAGGTAATTATCACCGTGTAATGATGGTGTAATAATATCAACTACACTATATCTGATGCTCAGATGGTTAACCCTCGCAAAATTTCACAGTACGCTAGCAACCCGGGTTCGAGCCGCGCCGGCACCAATGAAATTTTCGATTGCAATTTTAAGTGCTCTTTTACGACGCGTTCAGCGGTGATAGAAACCATCGTAAAAAACCTGCATGTCTGAGAAATAAGAAAAAATATTTCGAAGACATGTAACGTTCCCCAACACGCATTGGAGAAGCCCAGCGGATACTTCCTTGCCCTAAAACCCTGTCAGAAATAAGAGGAGGCCTGTGCCCAGCAGTGGGACGTTATTACCTTACGTATATTATCCTGGACGTGTCGTAAGAGGCGACGGAAAGAAACAAATCAGGAGATGGGCAACAGCGTCTTCTTAAAAATACTGCGGTTGCCAACCAACCAGCCAAACGTGGCAACTATAGCAAATATACCCCCCATGTGGCAATTTATGGGGGAAGCTTATATTCAGCAGTGGACTTTGATAGGAATACAGGATAGCCCAGGTTATCTAAGGCTTGTAGGTTTCAATTATTTATATAAGTTGCGTTTTTGTTACTGAGACCTTGATGTAACGATTGGTATTTACAGTACTAGAGTTTAGATTCTAAAGAGTTCGTAGTATTTTTTATTGAATAATACTAAAAAATAAACCCACAGTTCACTTGACGGTAAGTAGATGCTTTGACCCATAAACACCTACATCTATCCTCGGTTAAGAATCAAAATGCAGAGCCCCTGAGCTTGAGAGCTTGTCACCCCTAAGAACTTAGATGGAATGCCTCGTTACTAGTATAAAGAGGTTTTATTTCTATACACACATCATATGAATGACACCAGCGTAATTCTGCTATTTCACACTTGTTATCTGAGAGACTGTGGCCCTTCTCATAATATAGCTACACCGTGGTTCTACCATGTAAATAAAATATCCAGTTCTCTAAAACACAAAAAAAACACAGTAGCGTTAAGCTACCATTTTACGCTGCTATAATTTAGGAGCATAGTTCTCCCCCGGTCGAGCCGACTCATTCGGGCTACAACCATACTATACCAGCAGGCTGGCTCTACCACGTATATTACGTATTTCTGTAATTACTACACGGGTGTTACCTTGGCGTGCTTCTTGCCATGTTCTTCATGGTGGTGGTGACCGTAGTGGCCCGACTCGTCGTGGTGGTGCTTGTCGACGCCTCCGTGGTCGTCGTACTTGCCCAAGTGGTCTTCTTTGTCGTGGTGGCCTTTAGAAGTTTTTGTATCTTCGTGTACACCCTAGAATGAAGCAGCCATTATTATTACAATATTGTTTTTTGTTTCATGTCGAAAATGTTTGTATATCGTAATTTTTGTAAGTGAAGTGATTTTTTTGCATTTAATCGATTATTAAAAAAAGACTACGGGTGACAGGTGGGTGGAGAAATGTATTTTTTAGTGAATATTTTGATAATTTCATAATTCATTAGCAATTTGAAGTATTTTAGTATCTATATTTTTTAAAGTAGAACGAGGAGAAGATATGGAGCACCGCTTGCCGTAACCGTAACTCTTAATGACGGAGACAGAGAAACTTAAAAATGCATATGCATATATGTTATTGAAATTCACGTCAAAACTAGTTTACATATTCATTTTGTCATTACTATGATCGTCTTGTGAATTTCTTTTATAAGTGAATATACTATCCTGACTAATTTCACCATCCATCTTCCATTTCACCAGGTTCTCGTTTAATTTCATGGCAATTTTCCCCAAGGTTACCCATCTGACCAGATAAATCTAATATTGACGAAAATTTAAGTACCACGTGAATTTCAAGAAAGGTCTCATTTTTCCACGTGGATTATACCTATTTGTAGGTGTATGAGAGGAACAAATGAAAGCTACTTCAAATACAATACTTGTAAAGGATTTCATAATAAAATTTGTGGAGAAACCAACTTTTTGGAAGCTGTTGCTAGTCGTTAAAAATGTAAGTTAGAATAAATGTATACATATTTAATAGGAAAATAAATGTTAATTTGAGTCTTAACGCTAGGTAGTATCCTGAATATCGGAATTTTCACAAAAAATTATGCTTTTTAACTACATGCAACCAAATCCCCAATTCCAGGCACTGGTGACCCTAGTAGACACGTAATACGTTTTCTAACATGACTAATTTCTTTCCGTAAAATTTACTCTTAATTTGAACTTATAAAAATTTAATTATGCTTATAAAAATTTAATTATACCTTTAATGCGTAATGTATCTTAAAATTCAGTATTACGCGTTATATTTCGTAAGCAAACTTTTCTCATTACACTAGTTTGTAACGCGCTATTTCTATAGAAACATAAAAGCAATTTGGAATTTCCAAACTCGAAGAACAAATATAAAAAATTTTCACCGTGAGTTAAACAGCGTTGGCGTATCATTTGAATTTGATCTTGACATCTAGTGATGTGCCTACTAATCTAATCTATAATTTGTAAATAATACACGGATAATTAAAGTACGTGGAGGTCGTTTAATTTAACACTGCACAGGCTTTTTTCACTTTTACCGTATAAAAATGCTCAATACTAAAACACAATAGAATTGGTGCGCAGATATAAATTTCGTAATACTTAATAAATATGATAAAATCTACCAAAATACAAAAGAAGCGCATGAGATTTAAACTAGACGTTTTCTACCTCAGTATTCTTCACAATGTGTTTATTTTAAATTTAAATTAAGTATAAATACAATGATGACATTTTTTGATAATGTTGGAAGGTGTCAATGAGAGGCGTGGTGTTTTGTCTAAGACTTTAATTAGTCCTAATACTGACTACCACAATCAACATTCATATATAAGTCGTGTGAGTTACTCTACATTACAATATAATCTATGACTTGGTTAATCTGAAAAATTTTTAGTGGAAAAATATTATTAATTAAATAAGTAACAGATATAAAACGCAAAGGTAAAAGTTAATGTGGGTTCAATGGGCGTTCCTCAAAGCGCAGTTTTCATTCCCTCCCTATTCCTAGTTATCATGCTATAGTATTATTTGATGATTATATTTACTTTATAATTTACTTTCAAACTTAATGGAAAGCCAATTTGTGACGAAATAAGTGATGCTCTATTAAAATTAGTTAATTGGCTTAGCGGTACAATTTGCGGTGACACAAAATAAATGTATAAAATTTACAATGGAATGTTCAACAACTTAATCATCATCATCATCATCGTCATCAACAAGTCCACTACTGAACATAGGCATCCCCCAAATAATGCCACAAAGCACAACAACTGAATAAAAATATTTTTGAAATAGAAAAGAGTTATGTCAGGACGTAAAAATGCACTGCTGAATACGCTCTGAAAACAAAGTATTTCAAAAAGAAAGTAGTTATTATTCGCAAATGTGAGCATTATTAAATGAAATAAAAAGTTTAAGATCGAAAATACATTACAAACCCGAACGTATCATCCTCCAGTTCACAAGCATCATGCAAGAAGTTACCATAGACATCCTTGTACGTGTTACTAAAGATGCGAAATGCTGCATAACAATTCTAAAAATATCAAATATTTTATGAATTTTCAAATAATTCAAATTTTCAAAAATATCAAATATTTTATTTTAGTTTAATTGTTTGGACTCGAATGTCTTAATTTGGTATTTATTGTCATTACCATGCTTCCATTCATACTGTTAGAATAAAAATTCCCGGCAAAGCTTGTAGTCAAATCTAACAACATCCACGGAAAGCCATCAATATTTTTTTAAGCTAAGTAACTACCCTATACATCTTTGGTCTAGTCAATCAAGTCACTGGCTGCTTATTATTAATTGCTTTCTACAATTAACAAAGCTAGTAGAAAACTATAAAAACTAACTGAAATGTCACATCTGTACGTTGCTTTTCGTGACATTCCTGTGACTTATCGGTGATATCATTCACTATTTAAGTTTTTTTATCATCGTAAAGGATTATAGAATATCAACTTGAATACATTTCACAGCACTAATATCTAACTATAGTCTCTTGTCAAGATTTCGTATTCACGCATTGTTGGACTCTTGTTTAATTAAAATTACTCAGGGTTCTCGCTAACGGCTGTGCAGTCGAGAACGAGTCTAATTGACTTGGAAACTTCGTCTCCTAGGCGACTACCGTAAGTTCTCGTTTCGAACAATTTATTATTTAAAATACCTTCTTAAGTATGTACGCACTTTTGAAGATTTTCCTTTACTAATTTCTAACCAGCTAGTACTTTTATGGCGTATTTCAATTATAAAATACAATTGCAATTTTATATATCTATCCATGAATTACTATATCCGATCCCATATATTTTTTTATATCCGTTAGTGTCACGGTCTAAATAGTGTTTATAAGTTAAACACGTCTACCTACTACTCTTTTTTAACCGAATTCAAAAAGGAGGAGACACTCAACTCGACTGTATTTTTTATGTGTGCTATCTCATAACTTTTTTCGAGGTAAACTGATTTTGAAGATTTCTTTATTTGAAAGCTGATGCTTTTCACGTGGTTCAAGAATCTTTGAATCAAGTTGAATCAAGATCTGGCCAGTAGTCTGTGAGTTACACTTAATAATGCATGTTAAATTGGCTTTGACTAAATGGATGATGTTCTCACTATATTCAGTACCTGGATGACCGATCTTTTTTGGAAATCGTGTGTTTTGGAAATTATATTTAAAAAAAATTACATACTGATGAAATATGAATAATATTTTTTGATCTTACCGACAGAATTGAAAAAACTGAACTGGTTATTTGATTAAAAAATTATGAATGCAATTAGTTAAATTTAAATTTTCATGTTTTTAAAAAATAATTAAAAAGGGCTCCAAATAATAGATTTTCTCATAAAAGAAGGGAACTTGAGAAAAAAGGAAAAAAAGTCGACAAGACTCGAACCAGGGTACTACGGTTCCAGGACCGCCCGATCTCCCATTTGAGCTATTATAATCATTAACACATTGCCAAAATTTACCTTCTTATATTGTAGCAGTATTTCATTGCCTAAAAACACGGACAAAAAGACATTTTCTAAAAATAAATCCTAGCTAGATCGATTTATTGCCCCCGAAACTCCTTGCACACAAAATTTTATGAAAATCGTTGGAGCCGTTTCCGAAATTCCGTATATACTACTATAAGCCAGCGCTTGACTTCTATCACACCTGATGGTAAGTGTGGAGCTGAAAATGGTAAAGCGCATTAACAAAATCCCATTCTCTCTTGTCTTTTGAAATGGGGCATGTAATAAAGAGTATATAAATAAATACCTAAATAGTTAAACAAATTTAATTTTTATATAATAAATTATCAATCGGTATCATTACGTAATGATTGAAGAAGCGTCAGCAAATGACACCATTTCGTGTTATTGTTCAGTATAACGTAAGCTATTTAAGAATGCACAGTGTATACAATATGTAACAAAATCCTGCGGTTCCTGTTAAGTGTGTTATCATAATCGTTATTCAACATATAATTTGCGAATAAAAATTAATTAAAACTATATTTAACCTTTTGTGGTCAAGTTTTCTGACGTAAAGTTTTTTCTATGCGTTTGAATACTAATTCTGATCACGCAGTTAAAGGCGACCACAGGGTTTTGGTTTCATGTTCTATACAATATTCTATAATAATATAGATGACTATATCTGAACAATGAAAAACTATTTCGGAGGCGTTTGTTTAAAAAATACCGGCCGCTTCAGTTACCGCCTTTAGTTTATATAAATAATCTATAGCGGCGAATTCGATCGAGAGTATGATCAAATATAATTTAGACAATTTGATAGCGCTGTAGCAAAGCATGGAACAATTATTTGTATGGTATATAAATAGTAATTCAGGCTAGGGTCGGCTTATTTAGGAATGATTATTTTATAGAATAAAGGTGACAAACGATGATGATAAGTGGATGCTGTGACTCAAAGACGTTTGCGTCTATCCTAAATAGTCAAATAAAATCCTACTGCTGGGTTAAGTCTTAAAACTGAGAAATTTCCTTATTTTTGAAAGGCTAGTTACTTTTAATAAGTTGTTTGTTAGTTTCTTAGACATGCAGTAGTCTTTACAAATTCTTTTACCATGACCAGCTTTTAAAATTATAACTACATAAGTGCTATGTTTTTTTTATATCAACAAGGGAGTGGAATATATAATATAGAATTAGAAAGTCGGTAAGTATATAGTTAGTAGTCAGGATTCAATTCATCATCATTATCATCATCATTACAGCCCTTCACAAGTCCACTGCTGAACATAGACCTCCCCCAAGTAACGCCACAAAGCACGGTCCCGAGCCACCCGCATCCATCGACTTCCTTCATGTCTTAACAGGTCGTCACTCCATCTAGTGGGGGGTCGCCCTACACTACGCCTACCGGTACGAGGCTGCCACTCGAGAACCTTTCTTCCCCATCGGTTATCGATTCTTCGAGCTATATGGCCGGCCCATTGTCACTTCAGCTTACTAATCCGTTGGGCTATGTCGGTCAGTCTGGTTTTACTGCGGATATCCTCATTTATGAGTCCATCACGCAGAGAAACTCCGAGCATAGCCCTCTTCATAGCTCGCTGAGCGACTTTGAGCGTCCTCATACGGCCAGCAATGAAGGACCACATCTCAGATCCGTAAGTAATCACTGGCAACACGCACTGGTTATACACTTTAGTTTTCAGAGATTGAGGTATACCTGACGAGAAGAGGATTCAATTAGTAAACAATGATTTACTCCGAACAGCTTATTCAAAAAGTTATAAGATGGAGTTTTCAATATTAATTCTTACTAGACTCGTAATCTCCGGAAGCCGTATGCTGCCGTACGTAAAGACGTAATTTATTAACGCTTTATAAAATTTGTGCCAAATTGTTGCATACAACACGTGTTTATTTTGACCACAGATCATGATGATAGAGGTTCGCATATTATAAATGTTCACATAAATGTGTTTGGTCCGATAGCAGAGGATCGATACAGCTACAGTAAGAGCGATGTTTGTTTAAGCAAAGGTCAAGGAGTATATAATGTATACTATATAATCACTACTTGTTACAAAGGTATTCACTTTGAATAAAATTTAACGGCAATAGTTTTGCAGATATGTCAATAGATGGTCAAACGGATGATTCTCATCCGATTATAATGCAGTCACTTCAAAATTGTATACGTTTTTTATTAGATTAGGCAGTGTGGTTTATCATCTGCGGCTGCATCACCAACTACAATTAAGTGGTTTGGTCGTTATAAGAAAAGGGTAGATATCGAGCCGGGCAAAGTAATCAGCCCGGGAAGCGGTCAACGCTCCGTGTGTAAGAGCTGTTCTATATATAGCATAGCACTTCATAACTTAGATAGCGTAACTTAGGCTTCGGTGGCACACTGGCTTATATTTAAAAACAATTAACACAAGTAGCTCGCGCGGACAAAACGCAATTATTCCGTCAGTTTAGAGTTAGGACATTAGAATTAAATCACAGCATGATACTGCTGTTTATCGGACGCGTACTTGAACTGAATTATGGTAGCGAGTCATTCACTCTTAGTCTTCAGTGGTCACCAACCTGTATTTTGATTGTTATCATATATACATGCAAGCAATCTTTGGTTGACCAGGTCTACCAATAAATAATGCTAAAGATAAACACATATTAGTTGTAGTAAAATTGGTATGATGTCAGATATGATATCACATCGATTGTCAGTGCGTGCGATGAATGTGTTGGATATATTGCATTATGAGATGTAACAATAGCGCTTGATGTAATATTATTATCTCAAGTAAATTACGAAGTATTTTTCGATAAATCGTGACGTGTTGTAGGGGCATAAATTTAAAAGAATTTCACTATACTTCAGTCATAAATTTAAAAGAATGTCACTATACTTCAGTCATAAATTTAATAGAATGTCACTATACTTCAGTCACTAATATCGTCAAAATGAACGGAAATCGTATTAACTAACTACGTAATCGTTTTTAGTGAGACCCCATCCCCCCGTCGTTATGGATGCTGTAAAGTTCCGGAAACGTCGGGAATATAAAATAAGTTAATCGCGATAGTGCTGATATAGCAAAAATAAAATACAAACATTTTATATCTATACATAAAATAATATTCTGACGAACAAAAGTGCCACCATTTATCTGTTTCGCAAAAAGAGTATAAGTAATCATTTGTAATTTAGCTTTACTCAATACCAGTAAATTGAATCAAAACGAAAAATCTGAACTACCAATGGACTTCGTAAAAGCTAACTATAAAATGTGACTGACTGGAAATTTTGTATGCCTATTAAAAAGCAGTAGCTAACATATTTATATTTAAAATTATTAATATTTAAATTGCTCAATTTTAACACCTTTGATTTAAATATAGACATCGTTACAATACATCATAACTTTAAAAGTTTTATGCCCTTTTAAGAATAATTAATCAATTTTAATTTAATTTTGATGTAACTAACTCGTGTTATATTTTAT